TCGCTGGAATCCCGAGAACAGTCTGGCCAAAGTCTGCCCCAGGTCGTCATCACCACAAGTATACGCCGCTCTTATGCATCAGAAGGAGATTTGCCACCATCCGACTTTGATACCAAGACGGTGGTTGACCTTGGTATTGGTTTCCTCTTAGCTAGGCTTCCTGATGGAAACGCCGGTCTCCTTCTCAGCTTGAGAGACCCTGCTGGGGGATGGGTCCCTCCGTTGTAGATCGCAGTCCGACACCCAGGAACACCTCCCAGCCACGGTGAGGCGGTAAACCGCTGGGAGGAAAAAAAAGAAATAAAAAACATGTAATAAAAATAAATGATAAAAACATGTAAAAAAGTCACAAAGCCAGCTTTTTAATTATGTATAATATTGTAAAGGTACAAGAGATACTTTATTGGTAAAAAATACATTAAAACAACAAATATTTTAAAACGCTCATTTCTGAATGTTCTAATGTAATAACAACCTCGTCTAAGAAGGCTATACGTTATTGATCAACGTTAAGGTTAAGGAAAGTCGATCTTAGGAAGTAATTCCCTCATACTTTAATGTTCATGTTTCCGCTAGGGGTTTGGGTCACGTCATATTACGTCAAATCACTGTGAAAAAGAACACTATTAAGAGTACCAAGAAGCGTAACCAACTTCCAAGAATTTTTGGTGATAAGAAGATTGTAGTACGAAATAACTTCATATCGATGATAACGACTTCACATCGAAATGAAGATGAAGATCATTTCGTAGGGCTACTCTCTACAGTTTGTCCCTTCTATGGAAAACCTTTTTCTAAGGAGAAAGACCATAACTGCTGACTGAATGCTGTTATCTCCAAACAGGACCGCTCATGCAGAGATCGATCAGAGGGTGGTGAATAGAAGATAGAATATGAATGTGTCGTTTTCTTGTTCAGCAATCGCGAGGTTTTTAAACAGCATACATTTACTTCCATAAAAAACACAATACAATACAACGCTAGCTGACGTTTCGGCAGTATCGCCTTCTTCAGAGCCTGGAAGGGTATAATGATATACAATCTACTAGGCCAAACGCTTCAATAACACTTACAAAAGACGAAAGAGTCCAAAACACTAGCGCGAAAACTCCTTGAGGCTTTTTGGATCAATGCCAAAAGCCCTACAATGAATAGCAGGGATGAATGCCCGGAGGTCATACGCGACCTGATCCCGTACGTTCGCATCGATTTTTGATGTGGGATGGTGCAGTCGTCAACCACATGCGACTATAATCAGCTGTTCTAAACTTCCTCATTGGAAGTCACGAAAAAGCGGTGGGTTTTTTCGAGAAGTCGTTGATCATGTAATTACCAAAGAGTCTTTCGTCTTTTTGTAAGTGTTATTGAAGCGTTTGGCCTAGTAGATTGAATATCAGTATACCTTTCCAGGCTCTGAAGAAGGCGATACTGCCGAAACGTCAACTAGCGTTGTATTGTATTGTGTTTTTATGGAAGTAAATGTATGCTGTTTAAAAACTTCACGATTGCTGAACAAGAAAACGACACGTTCATATTCCAATGCCGAGGTGAAGAGAAAGTCGATCCTGGGAACTATTACAAGATGTACCAGAAGATGGAATCTTTTCAATGTTTGTGTCTTTCTTTTTGTATAAAATAAAATTAGCTGAAAGGTCCCCCAACCTCTGCTGAATAAGCTCATCTTTAACTGTTGAGGAGCTCTGAAGTTTTACCAAGCATAACCGAAAGCTTTTGAAAAAGGGATGGTCGCGCGATGATCCCACTTCTGCACGTTTCGAGCCAGTGGTCATCAACGCGGTTTGCAGAAAGCTTGTTAAGCAAGGCGTTGCCAAAGAAGAATTCTAGCATATTGAAGTAAAGATACAAGGAAAAGTCATCGCGCCTTCGCGAGTACAACGTTCGCTCTTCCGCTCTACTCCCTAACGACAGACGAGTTACATATTTATTTATGTGACCTTATAAACTGATCTTCTTAAGCTGACGCGAGGTTGGTACAGATCTTCGTTGTCGTTGTCGTTGTTTTTGATGTTATTGATCGATGGCTGACGTTTCGGCGACTTTGCCTTCCTCAGAGCCTGGGTATTTTATATTAGAATATTTTTATTATTCGTTGGAAAAGGAAGGCTATTTGAAAGTTTGATCTTCATTAACACTTTAACCTTTCTTTTCCACCGAATAATAAAAACATTCTAATACAAAATACGTCCAGGCTTTGAGGAAGGCGAAGTCGCCGAAACGTCAGCCATCGATCAATAACATCAAAAACGACGACAACGACAACGAAGATCTGTACCAACCTCGCGTCAGCTTAAGAAGATCAGTTTATAAGATCACATAAATAAATATATCAACTATCTATGCCGAGGTTCATAGAAAGTCGGTCTTTCGAGTTATTAAGACGAGTTACAGTTTCCTCTTATAATATGGAATTCACGAATCAAATCTTATCCATGCTTACGACACGTCATACATGTGGCTTCTCACTCTAAGCCTGTAATACCAGGTCTCTCTTCTCATACGCCGACCTTCATATTCTCCTTGAAGCCACAGATAGCATCAAATTCTACGTAACAGCTCGACAAAAAGAATAACCAAGAAGACTGACATACGTCGGTTAAGCAACCGAAGTCTTGTCACGCGACAAAAAGGTTCTTTCACGTAATTTTGGTAACGAAGCCTTTTTGTTCCACCCGTCCACTTTTCATGTTGAATCATACGAGATCCTCTTACTCCTTGCATAGCCGCCTCCGTCCTCAAAAAACGCGCTATAATGATAGCAATGCCATCAATTGCTACTCACCGAATTTGAAAATTTAAAGCATTCAACATTTTGGAAACCATGGCTGAATATAGGGAGGCAGTGGTTGGAGGCGCCAGTGCGACACACACGTGAAATCGATCCCGCGCCCCTAACCCGCCAAGCATTCCATCCCTCCGAGGTCTGCCTAACCTGTTGGAAAGGATAGCAGCACTACCTTGATGCATCGATAGGCCACCGCGTGTCATTGTAAAGCTGAAATATGCATTTAATCACCTCCAGCGATACTTGATGAAGTCGGGTGCATGGTGCATCCCTCAGGGATTAATCAACGCCGAGAGCTTTATCCTTTTTATGGCTAAATGTAAAAAATTGACTGCATTATCAGTTGAAGCACTTACCACACCAGGATAAAAAAGTGCAACCGGTGTACCAGACTTGAGTGGGTTCGCAGCGATCGATGAGCTTTCTGAAATTTACTGTCTTCAAATAAACCAAGAGGTGTAATCACTAAAATACATCATGAAATCACCTATTGCTTCAGTTAACAATGTGCTAGTAAACTACTTCAAAGCAAATAACCAACTTAGAACATCCAGTGACGGAAGAGAGATGATCGGCGACTGACCGAATTCACTGAATTGCACTCTGGGTGAAGTCGGAGCGCTTGTGCGTGGTCTTAAAAAATTAAAAATCCATGTACACGGTCGTATCACAAATGGTTAATTTTAAACTATACTTACAAATTTAAAATGAAAACTGATAGCATATTCTATGTGCTATTTATTAGTTACAGTCATTGTTAGCTTAACAATTGAAGCAATTCCAAGAAGAGTCTCCTGCGAAATATTTCAAATAATCGTAGAAATCGAAAGTTTCTGGCTCTTTGGAAGGTTCGCCATTGCAAGTTTCAAGTTGTCTAGACATAATTATACAGGAAAAGCGAAATTACATCACTATTGTAAGGTTTAATGACGAAAGGAATGGATGAAGGACATCGTGAAATTCAACGAAATCAGAAAGAAAAATCATTTTTGGTACCTCAATGGACCAGCGAAGGTCTGAAAGTTGTCGTTCATAGGTGACAGCTGAGCTGCTCGAAATTCAGAAGCCGCAAACATTTCACCGCTTCGATGCAGTTGGGTCTCTGTGCGTCGAACATCGATTTCCATAGCTAGAAAACAGATTGAGATAAGCAATAATTAGAATCTAAAACCCCTCATTCCCATTTCCGATTTATGAAAACACGTTTCTCACTTCTGTTGTTATACAATATTTTCTGAATGTGAGCCTCTCACGAATCTCGCCATTCTCCGCCGAGCATGCTCAGATGATTCGTGATATCCACGTAGTGACAAGCTCTAATGACTTCATGATCACTAAGTAAGGATTACTACTGGTCGGAAATCTCGTCTTCCTAGCATATTTTCTACTTAGACTACATTATTGCTGATTCTGCGTTTGTAACATGTACCATTTGTCTTCCACAATATTCTTCATAGGGGAACGGAAGAGCAGTGACAAGGATGCAGTCCATCTCGACCAGGACAATGCTTCGACTCCGCACTGTGCTCAGCCTACGGTGCTATGGAGTAGGTGCCAGCTTTGACTGGGAAGAGCACCTTCCCGATCAATAAAGGCTGGAGATTCTGTCTGTCACATAAACAGGTGATAAGAATGTGGCACGGCTATGCCAAGATTACGTGGAGATCCGACTCCACCAGCACCAAACGACATTCATAAAGAAATTCTCAAATAGCAGACGAACTCACGTGCAAAAGTTCAAAGGCCTTTGTGGATGATGGAAGCGAGTGCAACAAAATAAGCAAAAATATTTTAAGATAAAAATACTTGCTGACAATGATAAGCCTCCTTTATTGACCGACATTCCCATTTAGGATGTGGTCATTTATTGTGTGAACTCGTTAAAACCATGAATAGCTTTTCTCTATTCTAATCAGTTTATGGGAACTCTGTAAACTTATACACCCGTCAGTTAGCGCTCTTACCAACATAGCACTTAATCGTATTCAAGTCTTTCCTTTCGTTTCGCTTTTAGGTGCCATTGCTATATCCGACGTAGTACATTCCATAGTGTTAATAGTAACAAAGTGGAAATTGTTCGTTGAATCCCATAAAAAATACGATTAAAACATTTATTCTCACTAACATTTGTTTTGTTACATTTGTCATTTCATCGTGTTGTTTCATTTCCACCAGGTACTTTTGTATCTAAAGGGCGTTAGAAAATAATCGTTAGGAGATTTTTCGCGTCAAATACAAAACCCTTCTTACCCCAATTTTTATATAGGATTTTCTTCTGTTCATCTACGGAGTAGTCGGCTAGTAGAAGTGCACTCTGTTCTAGGAGACCCATTAGCGTAGAGGCGTGTTCTATTCGATCGGACTGCGGCAGTTCTTGCCAAATAGACACCGCTCTTGGTGAAAGAAGGTGATCTCCGGATGAGCCAAATGACTAAAAATCTTACTTTTATCATCAAGCCAAATGACTAAAAATTCACACTTTTATCATCTAAAACAACAGGGAAGACAGAGGAAACAGTAGATTAATATATTCTCAAAATTAAATAACCAGGTGTTGAGGGAGTTCATTGGATACTCAGTGAGGCACCAAGAAAGATAGCTGTAGATCTCAGAGCCATTCTTGAGTATTAAATATTCTTTAATAGAATAATAATCAAAATAAAGGAAGACAACATTTCCTGAACATATACTAAAAAGAGGAAGAAATTTGCCACAAAAATGGTATTATTGCAGAGGAAACGCAGTAGTTAGAGATGCTTGATAACAGATGTGCTACACCAACAGGTTTGACACCCTCCGGTCCAAGCAAGGCTTCCGTCACTCAGGGATCGACAAATTCGTATCAGTCGTCTAAGGAATAAATTCGCCTCCATCGAATCACAAAAGCCAGTGGCTTCTTGTGGTGAAGATGTGGAAACCCATCGCCATGGCTATCCTAGGATTTCCGGTTTCACTGTGCTCGAGCAGTACTCAGCAAGACTCATTAGCAAGGCAAAGCCCTGAAGTGGCAGAACCGTCGCAAAATATACTAGAATCCGAGTAATCCACGGTGACAGGTCATATAAATAGGCAAATAAACAAAAATATCCACATAGAGATGGCCGAGCGATTTACGTTTCTCAGCTGAGGGTTGGATACTTTTTCAATTTTGTTTCCGATAACGCTGTCCAGCAACCAAACCTCTGTGAAGTTCGTCGCCTTCAGCTGGCGTTCGTTTCTGTCAAACATTGTACTGAACTGTTGACGAGCTAGTTTGAGAACATCGGTGCCCAGCGATACACTGCCAATAATGTCGCCACCGTACAGCTGTTGCGCAAGGGTTGACCTTAAACAATACTTTGAACTAACGACAACAACAATTGTTTTGTTACCAACCAATAATCATATGATTCAATTTAATTGAACAAAAAATCGATTCTTTTGGAAAAGGGTACAACACGATTATATACATCTAAGTAAAACTTTTGGTGCACTGTAACACGCATGTGTGGTCGGAGGTGCACTGTAACACGCATGTGGAATCAATCCCCGCTTGCACGGCACGCCAAGCTTTCCATCCCTCCGGCTTCAGCAAATTAGTAGCAGACTTACCTGGCTCGATATATAGGAGGGCCACCGCGAGTCATCGTAAAGGCCAGATATGCATTCAATCACCACCAACGACGCTTAATGAAGTCAATGGCGCATCCTCAGGGATTGATCAACGCCGAGAGCTTTATCCTTTATCGTTTTAAGGAAAAATTTTTACGTTATAATTAGGGGATAGAAAAACAGAACATTCCCTTTGAGTTTTGTTAGAGGTGCTCAAAATATTCAACGACATTAGAACTGGAGCTTTAAATCGTACAGAAACACATCTACAACATTTCCACTTTACTACGTTGAGAGAATTCTTCCAAATTACTAAGGAACAAGGCGTACACGTCCTGAATCATTTCCTTCCCTTTTATTCACATGAAATATACAAAACACTTAAAGTTTTTCTTTTCGAGAGTTTCTGATGACTCAGCAAATTAACAGGGTTAGCATAAATGATGACATTTGAGGCATGTGATTTGAAAATATGCAAAAAAGTGTCAGACTTCACACAAAGGAACCTTGCTCTTACTCGAGATTGGCAGCTATTAGCCCGCTTATATCCTCGGCAGGATCACCTCGTTCTATGGCTGATTTTGCTTCGGATATCCATTTATGAGTACAATTCGTAGTGTCAGGTGACCTCCATTCAGCAGTTTCGCAGTTGCAGTACCTCACAATAGTCCCTGAATAGGACATAGTGGCGTAAACGAGATTTCATGTTAATGAAGCAATGCGTTTTGAATAATTTCTTTCAAGGTCTTAAAAATGTTCCGGCATGTTTTAGTTCCGGTCCGTAAGTTTCTAGAAGTGTTGAAAAAATAGTGAATCATCACAAATTACACCAAATTTTTTATAAAACTTTCGTTAAGAATATAACACAACCACAAATTGTACATCGAAAGTGGCAATCAATATCTATTTTATGAATTATGTCACGCGAACGATATAACTTTAGTGGTACTAAGACCATTGTATTTTAAGAAAACTTCCAACAAAAAGTCTTTAAAAAGTTGATGGATCACATGAGGAAACGGTGTTTTAGCGTACCTATGATGTTATCTGGGTCCGGGCAAGCCACGCGAGCCTCGGTACAGGCCTGTGTAATCGGATAACGTACTGTTCCTAGTGCCTCTGCATCACAGTACCTCGCAGGTGCGAACACATTGCCGTACTCTTGTGACCTAAATTCGGTGCATTCGAAGGTATGGCTTTAGATAGACATTTAAGCGCACAAAATAAGCAATAGGTTCGTGAAGATTCAATCCTTAATAAACTGTAGTAAACCGGAGGCCATTAAAAATCAATGAGAAGTAATCGAATTATTAGATCTTTGGTCTTGTTCAAGCACTACAGTAAAAGAAGACCATCCCTCGTGAACAGCACACAGGTGGTCCAAAAGCACGACGCTGAAGAAGGCGAATTCACGGAAATGTCAGCAATTAGACAATGACAACGAAATTAATAAGAATCTTTATGGCAACCTCGCATCAGCCAAACAAGAGTTGTTCGTAAGAACATTATATATATGTATATATGTATATATATCGATTATCATGCCGAGGTTTATAGAAAGTGGATCTTCCGACAGCAGAAAAAATTCGCAAACAAAAAGCAAATATTACAAACCGCACTTTTCTTCTACCTAATAGCTGAGCAGAGTTGAACAGACGACCATGGCGAGGAATCGTGAGGCACAGTACGGCATTTATTTGAATGGTATTTTGGAGGCCAGACAAGAGTGTTTATTTGAAACCGCGAAGAACCACTGCGAGGTTAATCTCATATCTAGACGGTACTAACTGGATAAACGTATTAGATATTTTTAAGTTTTGGTGGCTTTCACAAGAAGATGAACAGCTCATGCGTACTACCACACCTAGAAACGCTTAAGAACTACTTCAAGGCTTCAAGCTGATGTAAGAAAAATCACTACATAATGAACCCACGCCAGCACTTCTTGTATTTTATTCATTTCTTTGCATCCCATACAAGCCTTTCCCGATTTGTAGTTCCATTGCTGGATAACATTTTTTGGTTCTCCGAATGCTGTTAAATTCTAGCCGAGTCGACCCTTCCCAAAATTCTTGAATAGCCGTGATTTCCAAACCTTAATCACATTTAGGTAGCTGCCGACCTCTGTGCATCGCAGAAAGCGAGGTAATCGCGTACAAGTATGGTAGAAATTTTTCGAACCCAGAGGGTTCCGAGTTTCGTTGGCCTAGCTAGGTCGAATCGGGCCTTGCACATATTGTATCACACTACTACGTCTGTGCTACCACCACTCAGTATTAATAAGCACAGTAACAAAAAAGCGATACAGTTTGTATATACATATGTATACATATTATATATACATATATATACATATATGTACATATACATATATATATGTATATATAATATATACTTACTTGATACTTGAACGGCCCGTCATCACTAGTTGTGCGGGCCCCGCATAATCACCACTTTTCGGAGATTTGCTGTTTAAGCCATTGTGGTTCTCTGGAATCCCGAGGACAGCCTGGCCAAGGTCTGCCCCAGGTCATCACCACGACAGGCAGTCGCAGCCCTTGTGGATCAGAGGGAGATTTATCACCACGCGACTTTGATACCAGGACGGTGGTGGATCCTGGTATTGGTTTACTCTTAGCTAGGCTTCCTGATGGAAACGCCGAACTCCTTCTCAGCTTGGGGGACCCACGCTCGGCGTACGAATCACCCCGCTGTACATCGCAGTCCGACAGCCAGGAACACCTCCCAGTCACGATGAGGCGATAAGCCGCTGGGAGTACATATATATATATATATATATATATATATATATATATATATAAAACTTCAATGATGCTGAGATATTTGCGAAACTCCGAACCGCAGATGTCTGCGATGAGGAATGAGCGCGCTATTGTCCTTTCCGGGGACCACACCATGCGTTCAACACCACACCATGCGGGTCCATCGTTTTGCCTGTCTCTCAGCTGGTTCTATCGATCTCTGCCATCAGTCCGGAGTTTTGCAAATATCTCAGTATCATTGAAATTATATTTTGCAATATACCCTGCCATTAAAAAGAGTAGGCAGGAAGCAATGAGTTAAAATTATAGATATGTACTGTATATATATATTTATGCACATATATAGCTATTTTTCTTGTATTATAATACCAAACACTGACAATAGATATGTGCTCTTTCATTGATTGGATAACAAAGCTTTGATAAAAAACTTCATTCCGTTGATGTTTCGGTGCCTTCGCTTTCTTCAGAGTCGGATTAATCCGAGTCAGTTGTCCACAGTTGTTGCTTCTTCCGAAGTGGGTTTTCGTGATCGAATCGCGTCGAATACAGTGGAGGACCGCTCAAATGAAGTAAGCTCACTCGGCAGCGCTCTTTGATACAGAACGGTTGTTGATTGCGACAGACAACATAGATGCAAATTTTAATTTAACGATGTTTAATAGGGCGTCATTAATAGTTTGTAGAAATGAACACATTGAGTTAATGCAAATTTGGAAGTGAGGTGCGTATATAGAGCAGTGGTCAGAGGTTCCCGGTAATACATGGTTGGTCACCGGTTCACTTTCACTTGCTCTGTTCACTAAGTATAAAGGATAAAAGATGAAGCTCTTGGCGTTGATCAGTCCCTTAGGGATGGGCCATTCATTCGACTTCATTAAGCATCGTTGGAGGTGGGAGGTGAGTGAATACATATCTGGCCTTTACAATGACTCGTGGTGGCCTACTGATGTATCGAGCCAGTGCTGCTATCTTCTCAGACAAGTCTGGTACCAATTTGCCGACCTCGGAGGAACGCTTGGTGAGCCATGAGTGAGAGGATCGATTCCACGTATGTGTTGCAGGGTGTTGCTTCCGACCACCGCGCCACACGCGCTCCTACACTAACTATAT